CCCTCTGGAACCCACAGTCACCCTTAAGAATATAAAATATTAATATGCATATTATTAATATACTCACAATTACATAATATGGAAATTATTTGTTTATTCATAATTAATAGGCATATTATCGTTACATGTAGCACCCACAAATATTATATGTACTATCAGGGTGGTCATAAGGTATCTTTGGTGTTCTTTCATCTCTTCTTTTTAGCATTACTCTGGCTTAGATGCTCCATACTCTCATGCAGTCAGGAGCCCTCTGGACTTCCTCCATGGCTTGTCTATGAAAGGATGGTTCACGCCCAGTTCTTGGCTGGCTATGGGAAATCCATCTTACAATGATAAAATATTTGATCTAGAGGGGATTGTGGAACTTACGTAGTTCGACGTTCCCTTCCCCACTACTATGGCTATCACTACCAATTTATTTTTGCAAAAAGTCTAGTGAGATTAAATAATTTTCTTAAGTAACAGCTTATTTGAATAGTCAGGCTGGGACCCAAGGTTCCTGATTCAATCTAACGTGCTTTTTTAAAAATACATAAGTATGCTACCTCACTTTTTTTTCATACATACGGATTTACATTGATTTAATTAATTATTTTTTTTTGGTTTAAGCGATGGGGTTAAGTGACTTGCCCAAGGTCACACAGCCAGTAAGTGCCAAGTGTCTGACATCAGATTTGAACTCAGATCCTCCTGACACTAGGGCCCATGACTCTATCCACTGAACCACCTAGCTGCCCCTCACTTAAAAAAAAAAAAGCAAAATGAGCCACTAGTTTGTAGATAAAGCTTTATTTGTGACACATAACCAACTTGTATAGACTCTGTCAGAACCAGGGGGAGTACAGGTCTGAGAAGTAGTTACCAGTCACCAACACCAGAATATGGATTAGTTTCATATCTTCTTTCATTTTGACATTTTAAGAAGACTGTGGCTGAATCACGTATGGAAATTATTCAGTGCTTTCAATCATTCTAATCTCCTCTCTGCAACTAAAACCTGTCTCTTTAATACCATCCTTCTCCTAGAGATGCTAAATGGATGTAAATTATGGAATTCGTCATCTACTGATGACCCAGACAATGAATGATGGCGATGAGTAAGCCGCGGGACGTTAGCAAAGAGAACATGTGAGTTGGATGCCACGTAGAAGGCATTCTCACTGACCAAACAAGGAGGCAGGATAGCCACACAGCCAAAGCCAGAGAAAATAGATGGACAACCCACCCAATTTTTGCACTGGTATGAAATATTTTAAAAAGCACAGTGAGGTTTTCAATACATTGTATAAATCCTGGATATGGACAAGAATTACATAGGACAAAAGAATAAGGATATATTATGATCTGCACTGTGAAAATATGTATTCACACTAGGTGTTTTCTGTGGGAAGGGTATCTCCTTAAAGTATACATCAAAGCATACAAAGCAGTCGTCTATTCCATCTTTATATTAGGTCTTTCCCAGTGTAGACCTTACTTGGACTTATTCTCCCAACCTCACCACACACACACACACACACACAGGTTCAATACCCAGAGATGGTTACTGCTCCTTCTCAGAATTCTAAGGGTATCCCTAAAGGAGATTAGGGTATCCTATTCTAACGCTATTGGTTCAAGCCATCATTCCAACGTTTTCCCCAATAGAATTGCTAATGTTTATTACTCAAGTATCAGTTAACCAATGAATATCAATTAGCTTTTACAAAGGGATATTTACTGAAATAAAACATCCCCTTCAAATGGGGAGCAAGATACACTCACCCCTCTATCAACTCAATCCTCAGGGAAAATGGACTCAATACATGTCTCTCCTTCTTTCCCAACCCACAGGTCTAAATCCATAAATTACAAAATCCTACATTGCGAAAGTAAAAAAATGATATTTGTTAAAGAAAAATAAATCCACTGTGCAGATAAAGGTTATTTCTATACTAGGAGAGGAAGGCATACTATTTGAAGAGACAATCCAGTGGACAATTTACAAAAATATGGTTTGGTGCTTTTCCAACCAAACAAAAAGACTGGTAGATTTTGATGAAAATCCTCCAAGTATTCTTATCTGGTAAGATGATTTTCATTTGGATTTCCATCTGGCCTTCCTTCTGATCAATTAAAAATGTTTGCAAACTTTGGATTAGATCAGGAAAAAACAACACTCAACACGTACATCAAGATTTAAAGAACTAACAAGAATAATTAACAGTGTAAACAAGAGTTAGGCTTGAGCAAATACCTCTTACAAACATTCATTTATTTAAAAAAGAAAGGTAATTCATTATGAATCAATTTTATCAATTCATCAAAGTAGGTCACATAAGGATCTCAACAATGTAATACTTTGTTAACATAGTTCTAGTTCCTATATGTAATTACATTTCTTTAATGGCTTATAAATCAGACTTTTTATTAATTTAGTCTGGGCAAACCATCATTTTCCCCCATCTCCAATCAATCTGAATTAATGAGAATCATGAGATTTTAGATTTAGAGATTGAGGGAATCTTAGAAGTCGTGTAGACCAAACCCTTTAATTTACAGTTGAGGAAACTGAGACCCAGAGAAATTAAGTAACTTGTTAAGTTATTAATTCATGTACTTATAGGTATACTTATACTCATATAAATAAGTTCCTTGAGAGTAAGAATTGTTTATTCCTCATATAGGTTATCTTCAGTCTTGAGCACAGGGTAGGTGTTTAATAGCTGCTAGTTTATTGATTGTCCAAAGGGATGCAGGTAGTAAAACAGCAGAGCTAAGATTTGAACTCAACCTCTGACTCTAAATCCATGTTCATGACACCAAATTCTCCAATTCAATTTAATAAACATTTATTAAGCTCCTACTATGTGCCAGGCACTGTGGATACAAATAAAAAAAAGATACAGTCCTTACCCACAGGGGAGCTTCCAATCTAATGGCTGAAGACAACAGACAAAAGAAAGCATGGGAGAGAGGAGTGTCACTAAGGGGTACCTGACTGGGGCCTGGCATTCCCATAGATTTGAAACCAAGCAGAAGTGCTGCTGGGTAGAACATAGAGCTGCCAGGAAGGTTGTGAAGACTCTCTAAAAGAAGGCTTTGGGAGAAGTTAAATGCTCTATTCTTCTAGCCCCCCAATCAGAGCAGAGAGGCAATTGAGGGTAAGTTGAGAAGGTGTTGAGTGTCAAAACCTGAGGTGATGAGATTTCATGTGATTGGCTTATCCTCCAACTATCTGAATAAATAAGGCTCGATTATGTGTGTGTGTGTGTGTGTGTGTGTGTGTGTGTGTGTGTATAATATATATATATATATATATACATACATACATACACATATATATGCTCTATAAAAATGTGACACATTGGGTCACTCTGGGAACCACCAAGGTGCTACCATGCTGGTGATTAGAGCAATCAGGGGAACTATGGGTAGAGGGGGAGAGAAGTCACTCCTGGGGAAACACCTGAATCCAAATGCAAATTAAATTAGCATAATTCAAAAGCCAGGCTAGAGAATCTAGGTTTGAGATTATCTAAAACAACAAAATCCCAAGGGACAAGTGGAAAGCTAGGAGAATTCAACTTGATAGCAGATCAACCAGATCAACAGGGAAGATATAGGGGGATGCTGTACTCAACTTCCTTGATCAAAACCTTGACCTTTTTGCTATGCTTCTCAGAGGCAGCTAAGTGGCTCAGGGGAGAGAGCTCTGGGCTTAGAGTAGGGAAGGGCTGAATTCAGACTCAGACACTTACTAGCTGGACAAGTCGTATAACCTTTGTCTGCCTCAGTTTATTCAACTGTAAAATGGAGATATAATAGCACTTATCTCACAGGGTTATTGAGATGATCAAATGAGGTCATATTTGTAACATGCTTAGCTCAGTGCCTGGCACAGAGTAGACATTTAATAAATGCTTATTTATTTCCTTTCTTTTTAAAATGATGACTGCATATACTCTATCCCCACCCCTGTACCCCAAGCTGATGTGTCAACATGGTCATGGGCCAGATCTGCTGCACCCTCTCCTGACTTAGTCATGCTAGTATGACCTAGGGCTTAGGGGCCCATTACCATCAATTTTTCCTTAGATGCCAGCAAGCCAGAAAGTATAAAAGCAAAATGGTGGTGCCCACTTAAAGAATTCATGGGAAGATAATGAGGCTTTGTTTAACCTTTCAATTAAGGGATTAAAACAACACAGTATACCAGACTCTATAACAAATCATAATGTTTATTAATGTAGTACAAGTGAAGATTATTTTATGAACATTTTTGGCACAAGTTAAGTTGCAAAGTCATCCCTATATTTGATTTAAAAATCCTGAACCCCTGACTCCTCTGCATTTTACCGTTAAAATGCACTTTATGGTTAAACAAATCAGTTTAGAAATTATAACTGGCATCACTAATGTGAAAATATGTTTAATAGGAATGTATATGTATGGCCTATGCCAGATTGTGTGCCATCTTGGAGAGGGTGGTGGGGAGGAAGGGGGAGAAAAATTTTAAACTCAAAAGCATATGGAAGTGATTGTTGATAAATCAAAATAAATTAATTAAAAAAACACTGTGAAATCCTGGGCAAGTCATTTAACTTCTGTCTGCCTCAGTTTCCTCCTATGTAAAATGGGGATAATAATGGCAGCTACCTCCCAGGGTTATCTGAGGATCAAAGGAGAAAATATTTGTACAGTATTTTGTAAATCTTTTAAAATGCTACATAAATGCCAGTAATTATTACTGTTGCTACTGTTATTGTTATGAAAGTCAATATTGTGTTCTCAAATATTGAAAAATTTAAATAAGAATGATATAGGCTAAATCAAATTTAATATTTGTAACCTTAAATATTTGTAGATTGAATTCTCTAATAAAAATTAAAAGCATTTTGAAAAAAAGAAAGTAAGGGGCAGCTAGGTGGCGCAGTGGATAGAGCACTGGCCCTGAAGTCAGGAGGACCTGAGTTCACATGTGGACTCAGACCAAACACTTGACACTTACTAGCTGTGTGACCCTGGGCAAGTCACTTAACCCCAGTTGTTAAAAAATTTTTTTTTTATTTAAAAAAAAAGAAAGAAAATACAACTGGAAGAAAAATAACTCGAAAGGATTGGCTGTTACATTTTTGCCACACAAACAATAGGCTAAAAACCACAATAACTTATAAACTAAGAATAACAGTTGTGATTCTGAAAATTCATCTGAACTTTTTTCCTGGCTTCATTTCCTTCTGGTGCATTTTTCTGAGTCCTATCCATGACTGCCACAATAGCAGTACTGGGATCAATACCCACACACCATTAAAAAATACTAGGTAGAACCAAAGATAAAGCCAATTGCTGGTATTAAGGTTGGGGCTTCCAATAAGCCAATCTGGACAGAAGGTCATCCACCCGCCATACAGTTCACAAACACACAGGGTAATCTGAATGAAATGCCTGTTGAAGAGAAAGGAGAAATGAATGAGGTACCTCAGAGCACCTTTATACCTCTATCATGAGACAGTTTTCTTCTTCACCAATAACCATCCCATCAAAGTTTCTCATTACAACCAAAACAAAACAACTCTATCTCTAAGACTGGTCCTTTTGTATCTTGGAAGCCTGGGCAAAGAAAATCTCATTACTGATGGTTTTTGTGATTTCTAGAGAGAATGTTTTGATAAAGGCAACCAGGCCTACCCTTAGGTAAATGGTAAAAACACAACTGATCTAGAAGAGAGATGATTACCTATTAATTCTAGTTGGACAAACATCTAAATGAGTGAATGAATGAAATGAAGGAAAGATAGAAGGAAAGAAGGAAAAATGGAAGGAAACAAGGATAGAAGGAAGGAAAGAGGGAAGGAAAGAACTAAGAATGGAAGGAAGAAAGGAAGAAAAAGATCTAAAGCTGAGGAACACAGGGCCTGGGGTAAACTCTCTGATACTCATTTATTGCCACCAATCTATCTACTGGATGAATAAATTTAATATTGTAATTCTTCATTATGAATTGAGGTAAAACCAAACCAAATTTAACAAACACTACAAGCGAAACAAACATTTATTAAATGCCTACATACAAGACGCTGTACAGAATTCTAATATATGGGGCATTCTAAAAGCCTTAGTGAAGCTTTAAGCTATTAAAGCTTATTAAAGTATATGAAACAAATGACCACATTTCTGCTCATTTAGCACCAGTCTTGAGAGTAACCCACAGGGCAGTACTTGATGCGCTCCAATCCACTTTGTCTAAGGGAGGAGGAAAAGGAGAAGAAAGGAAAATAAAAAATGCCAACAAATGCCTCTCTACTCCTTATCATAGTACAATGTATCCTCAGAATTTGGTTTGTGACTGTTATTAATAATGTATACATCAACTCCTTAAAGACAACATTCTAGGATAGTTTAAAAAAAGAAAAACAAAATAAACCCCCCCCAAACCCAACCAACGTTTTTAGGAATCATTGCTCATTTTACATTGCACATCAAACTTAGAATGAATGACATAAGCATAATTTACTTTTGTGCCTGGTGGAATGGGGTTGTGCTGCAGACACTGGAGAAGATTCAGCAGAAATGCCTCCTATTTGCTTGAAAATATTGGCTGGAAAATGATGCAGCCTCCTGCTCTCTTGTGTATAATCCCCAAAGTCCACAATTAGATTGCCACCTGTGATCAAATTTCTCTCAGTCTCGATTTTGAACAGCTTGAAATTATCCTGATGGCCACAACGTCACGTAACTAAGATTGCACAGTTTTCTTTCATGTGCTATTTTCCTTCTAGCTACTTATTTTAGCCAGCTCACCCAGCTTTCATTAGCAGACACTTGATTTCAAAAAGGACTGGCTACCAGCACTTACCGATAGTACTTCTCTTTTAATATGGCATAAATGAGGAGTAAGGCTAGCAATCCATCCAGAACAACAGTCAGCATCTCCAGGGATACAATGGTGGGATCTGAATGAAGCCATCTTGCATCTGCTTTGCCATACTCTTTCCCTAAAATGATGAAATGATTCCTTATTTAGCAGGTGATTAATTATGTCACCATCAGCTCGAATAGCCTTCTTTTCTCAGGGAGCAATTCTCCCTCTATCCTCTTCAGAATGTTTTGGTGGAAAGCGACTAAACTCTTGAGGTAAAACCAGAAAAAAGCTTCTCAGAATTAAGAAGCTCACTTACTCTCATACTTTACATTTGTATGGTGCTTAACCTCTTCCAAAATCATTTTACATATGTTGGATTTTCCTCCCTCCCTTTCCCTCCAAATTAATTGCAACTACAATAGAATTCTAAATTAATTCATGGGACAGTATGCCTTTTTAAAAAAGGAGAGTAATCTATTTTTTTTAATTTATAAATTTATTTATTTTTAGTTTTCAATATTCACTTCCACAAGTTTTTGAGTTCCAATTTCTCACCCCTCCCCCCACCCCAAGATGGCATGCATTCTGAATACCCCTTCCCCTGGTCTGCCTTCTCTTCTATCTCTCCCCCCTCCCTTCTCTTATCCCCTTCCCCTTCTATTTTCCTGTAGAGCAGGATAGACTTCTGTACCCCATTTCCTGTATTTCTTATTTCCCAGCTGCATGTGAAAACATATTTTAAAACGTGTTTTTAAAACTTTGAGTTCCAAATTTTCTCCCTCCCTTCCTCCCTCCTCACCCACCCTCATTGAAAAGGCAAGCAACTCAATATAGGTTGTACATGTGCAGTTATGCAAAACACTTCCTTAGTAGACATGTTGTGAAAAACTAACTCTATTTCCCTTAATCCTATCCTGCCCTCCCATTTATTCTATAAAAGCAGAGTAATCTAAGCAAAAGCTTTGAACACCAATACATGTCTTTAACATATTTGAATTCGTTGCCTCAATAACTGATTCAGTGAGAAATTTGCAAGCAGAATTTAGAGATGGGAAATCATAGGCAAATACCTGTGTTTGGTAATAATTCCTATTCAATGGACAGGAAATTATATTCAGCTAAAGTGGGGAAGGGGAGAGTAGAGGAAGAGTTAAGGACTATCAATCAGTCTGGACAACACAATATAGCAACAACAAAGAGAGTATTTCAGCCCTGCCACCAGGATAGAGAACTCATTAACGATAGCTGTGGCCTGGAGTATCACTTATATTGATGCTGCAAGGAGTATGGGTCTGTAGCCATTAAGACATACTCTCAGGATGATTTCTCCTTGAACATATAATAAGATCATAAAATCTTCTTAGAGATAGTCTGATGGCCAAGTACTGGTAATATAATCCTTCTCCCCTTTAAAGCTGTTCTATTCCCATTTAGAAAAAGCATGAGTAGCCCCAAATTAGCTACATATCTCATCTGTACAGCAAGACTTGAGGTCTCATAATGGACAGAGAGACTATTCCCTAGGGGTCAAGGGCAAAGAAAGTTTCTAATGAAAAGGCTGCCCTTAGGGAGAAGACAACCAATAAATAGGAGTAACTACTTAATGAAATAAAACATGAAGATATCATGCTGAGAAGAGACTCACAAAAGTCCAGAAGTAATGAGCAAGATAGGTTGAGAGCCATTCAGGCTGGCACTAGCTAGCCATCTGTGCTGCGCTCTCTCTCTCTCTGTATGTGTGTGTATGTATGTGTGCGTATACATATATATATATACATATATCTATATATCTATATATATATACACACATATACATATACGTATATACATATATACACAGAGAGAGAAGAGAGAGAGTATATACACACACACATATATGTATAAATAAATAAATAAATGTTGAAGTGTAGGATTGGAAACACAGTACAGTTTGTTTTGCTGAGTTCACTGATGATGCACAGAGAGGTCCAGAATAAACAGATACAGATAATAAATGTAAATACATATATTAATATGTATAGGGATACAGTTTTTTATATATATGTATATATGCACACACACACATATATATATGTGTGTGTATATATATGTGTGTGTGTGTGTGTATATATATATATATATATACCTATATATATTTTACATATATATATATATATATACATATATATATTTTACATACACACATGTGTATATATGTATGTATTGGGACAGCTAGGTGGTGCAGTGGATAGAGCACTGAGCCTGGAGTCAGGAAGATGTGAATTCAAATCTGGCCTCAGACTTACTGGCTGTGTAACCCTGGGCAAGTCATTTAGTCCCTATTTGCCTCAGTTTCTCATCTGTAAAATGGAGACATACTGGAGAAGGAAATGGCACTCTACTATCTTTCCCCAAAAAACCTCATGAACAAAGTCCACGGGGTTACGTAGAGTTAGTTAAGATTGATGGACTGAACAACATGTACATACACTATACATGTGTGCATATTTTGTACATATGTATAAATAATAATAATATTTATACAATGCTTACTCTGTGCCAGGCACTGTGCTCAGCACTTTACAATTATTATCCCATTTGGTCCTCATGGTAACCCTGGAAGGGAGGTGCTATTATTATCCCCATTTTACAGACAAGGGAAACTGAGGCAAAGAGAGGTTAAGCAACCTGCCCAGACTCACATAGACAACAAATCTCTGAGGCTGGATTTGAACTCAGGTCTTCCTAACTTCATACCTGACACTATCTTCTGAACTGCCTGGCTGCCCAAACATGTATATGTACGCATGTATGTATGTATGGAGACATGCATCTTCTAAAGGGCAATGAAAGAGACTTGAAACAGACTACAGTGTTATAGTTGTTTTTAATCAGTGATGATTTGTGCCTAAGAAGTGATACAAAAGGCATCAAGGGCCTTTAAAACTGATGAAGTATGCTGGCCATGTATTAAGAACAAAGAATCAATAGATCTGGTGTTGCCCTAACATCCAGAAAGCATTTAAAAGGAAAGCCTTCAGGGTGATGAGCATATCCTCCATGGAATATTTATGGATACATATGGCCAAAAATTTCAGAAGATGGAGCAACATGGATGAATAATATATAATATATAACAATGAAGGATGTGACCTCATCAATGAAATCATGCTAAATTGAAGAACCAGAAATATAGATTCCACACCAAATGCACTTGCTCTAGGGCCCAGGATCTAGAAAAATAACACCAAAATCAAATGCAAAAGATTGACTTGTAGAGACAGAAGTGGATTTTACATATTCAAGATTGCAATGATCCACCATTCAAAATGAGTAAACTATTATTCTTTTTTTACCTAACTGAACCTTTATTTTTTGAATATTTTATTTTTCTCAATTACATGTAAAAATAATTTTAACATTATTTTTAAAAAGTTAAGTTCCAAATTATCTCCCTTCTCTCCCCCTTCCACAAGAAGATAAGCAATTTGATATAGGTTATACATGAGCAATTATGAAAAACATATTTCCATGTTGTGAAATGTCATGTCATGTTGTGAAAGAAAACAGACCAAGAAAAAAAATACAACCAAAAAAAGTGAAAAATTGTATGCTTTGATCAGCATTCAGACTAAAAATGAAGTAAATTATTGATTGTATAGGGACTAAAGGTTTAATTTTGGGGTTATCCAAGCCTGTGACTTCTCTTTCCATTTGTTGCCTCATTTTCTACTAATTCCTAGAGAATAGAGGACCCAGGAGCTACAGAGGCTGATTAAGCAACTCTAAAAATACAGTTCTTTTGCTGTTGATTACTAAGTTTAATGGGAGATTTGGTCCCAGCTAAAAGTAGACTAATAAGCTGAAGAGATAGAAGACATTCATGCTACTCATTGCCATGGGAAGCCAAAGTGAACAGGCTGTGAGTCAACAAGAGAGCCTAGAGTACCCATTTGCCCAAAACCACCTCTATGATGAGGCTTTTAACCAGGGAGTTTGCCATAGAGCTACCAAGAGGAATGACAGAACTCTGAGGATCTTGCTTCCAAAAAGGATGGAGAGCAGGGAGAATTCTATGGTGACCTGGTTAGAGGGCACCATATTTATCTTTCTACCAGGGCTGAGATAAGTGCTATGCGTATGTGAAAGGCAGGTTTGTCTTCCTCCTAAGAAAAGCTCATAATAGAGTTAGAGAAACACTTCCAGTCAAGTCAAGTCAAGAGAATTTATTAAGTGCCTACTATGTGCCAGGCACTGTATTTAGTGTTGCTGACAAAAAGAAAGGCAAAACCAGTCCTTGCTCTCAAGGGTTTATGGTCTAATGGGAGAGACAACATGCAAACTACTAACAAGCAAAATATAGAGGGATAAATTGGGGTTAATCTCAGAGGGAAAGTGTTAAGACAATGAAGAAGAACTTCAAGGTGGAAGCCAAGTAAAAAAGGGTATGCTGAGGCCAAGGGAAATCCTAACCTCTCAACAGGTTGGAAGGTGAGGGAATGTGACAAGGGAGGGAGGGAGCAACAGGACCACTGAATACTTGGGCCTAAGTAATAGGTAGGACGCTTTCTGTATTGAGGTTGTACCTGGACCCTCTGAAGAGGAAGCAGCTACTGGTGAACCAAGGAGTAAGGATGTAATTCGACACACAATAGTGGCACCAAAGAAGAGGTGATATCATTTGTTTTGACACCACTGACATTTCTTCCAGGATTTCCCCCTCCCTCCCAGAAAACCATCCCATAAAAAAAAATTTTTAAGGAAAAAAAAGAGAAAGAAGAAAAAAAATTTGAGCAAAACCAATCAATATATATAGAAAAAATATGAAAATATATGCAGTTTCACACCTGTGAACCTCCCATTTCTGCAAAAGAATGGAGGTGAGAAGTTTTCTCATACCTTTTTTGAGGAGCTAGTCTTTCAGTGGATAGAGCACAGAATTTGGAGTCTGGAAGACCTGGATTCAAATTCTGAGTCAGAAATTTAGAAGCTATACATGTAAGTCATTTAATCTCTCTTTGCCTCAGCTTCCCCATATGTAAAATGTGGAGGGAATAGGGAAGAGAATAAGCATTTATACAGTGCCTACTTATGTGCCAGACATTGTACTAAGTGCTTTTTACAAATATTGTTTCATTTCACCCTCACAATAAC